AGTCCAGATGGTATGCACGGAATACACAATTCCGTTTTGAAGTAAAGGAAGTGAAGACCATGTTTTATTGTCTGACACGCGTGGTGTTTTTTGTTATTTCCAGCCGTCTGCAAAAATTAGGTTGGTTTGTTCTCTTTAAGAAGCTTTGCGAATTCCGCTGGAAATAATCATACAGGGAGTGGTGGATGTGGTATTTCCGAAGCTCCAGTGTTGGCCAGTCTGTTACGAGATTCGGAATACGGCTTGGACGAGCACTAAACAACCGACTGGAAAAACTCAACTGCACTTAGAGTTGGCATGTAGTTAAAATGGGACAGAACAGTGGTCGGAAGTTACGTACTGCGAGCATAATGCATGACAAGTCAGACTAGCGAACTGAACATTCTCACCGTTCATAATGATCAAAAGTACTACACAGATCCTGTGGGAGCTTGAAACGCTCGTCCAACAGCTCGGGCCAATAATGAACCGATAGGATGTAGGCGGAAAGCGGAAACATCGCTGTGAGATTTCTATTGCTTTCCATGTTCTCGTTCGTTGTCTGATTAGCTGTTCGTTGAGGTGTTTGTGTGGACGAGTCGTGCTTCGCCGGATGGCTCGTGGTGATGGCGGTCGTACTGACGGGTGGCTCCTCAAACGCCTCTTGTGTGGATTCTGAAACCAAGCTTGCTACGCGTTTGGAGTCCCGAATGTCTTTGAGCATTACCTGGAGGTGAAACATGTAGGCACCAAGTCAGCCCTACGAATCGGGAGATGAAAAATCCTCAACTAGTGGCTCTTCCCGATCAGGATCCCAGTCACCGGGAAGCACCCAATCACAAGGAGCAAGGCAAACAGGACAGTCTATGTAGGGGGAAGGAGGACCATCCGGTCGATCAGTTACAATCTGACCAAACAGATGCAATAAAAGTGAACACTACCATATGTTCAACACACTGCTCGCCTCGTCACTCATTGATGATCTCGCTGCGATCGGTGACATTACCATATGTTCAACACACTGCTCGCCTCATTGATGATCTCGCTGCGATCGGTGACGAATTACCTCTGAGACAAAACTGCCCAGCTCGGCGAACAGAACGATATCAACAACATCAATACTGATAAGTGCAGCCGGACGATTCGATCAATAGCATATATTAATTACAAGATGAGCTGGGGCCCTATTTTTAGAAAGAAAACACTCCGTTCACCGTTCCATTGAGAAAACAGAGTTTCTTGCTATTTTACACGTAGGAGAAGTAAAACCGAACACAAATAAGGTCAACTAGAGGCAGTAGAACAGTAGACAGTGAAGGAAAAGGTTGTTCAAATTCAAAGTGTTCCGACCTGGTTTTCAGATACTGGTGTGACGGTGGATACTACTGACGGGGCATCCGAGTAGTATGTTTTCGCGCAAATCCGCTTTGCGTCTCTCGAAAAGTAAGATCTATTACGGAATTTGCGGAGTTGCCTTGTAGAATTTGCTTGCATTTGAGTATCAATCAATGAATATCCAGGAAAGTTCAGGAAGACGCGTTCAAGAGGAAGATGGATATCTAGTTTTTGTAAACAAGATTCATATGGGAGTTTTTTCCCTGTCCAATAGTCTGCAACTGTTCAGTCAGTGTTTTCTAATAAACAACTCCTCAGGGAAAACTTTCTTCCTTTCACCGCTAGTTTAGGTAATGCTGTGTAGACGTTACGACCGAAGGTCAAATGTGACCGCTTTACGGTATCTGAGCTGTTCGGATAGACCGATCGATGGGACTAGCAACATCTCACGCATCACTGGAAAGGGCCCCACCGAGATGAGCAATATGGACAGACATTCTGGCTTGGCTGGTTAAACGTACAACGATTGAATGATGTGAATAATTGGGCGTCGACAAAGTTAAACACAAAGAAGTACAGACTGATTGACAATCAACACAAGTTGAAATGTAGCTTCGTCAGAGAAAAACATGAAATTGGGGGTGCGGGACTTACCTCACATTCTGCCAGATTTTGTTCCCCGAACCGTAGCTTCAAAAGCTCAAGGTTCCTGAGTTCTCTGGCAGTGTGGAAGCTGCGCTGTTTCAGCAAGCGTTGACTCAACAACTGTTTGTATTCCACCAAAAACGATTTCTTGCTTCCGTAGATACTCACAAGCATGCTGAGCAGATCAAGCCGTCGACGCCACGCACCACCCTGGTACATCGCTTCCACTGGGTCCGGTTGCCAGTTGTAGCCCCACCCAGGAAGGCCTTTAGACAAATCACCAGTATACGTCTGGTGCGGAGTGTCCTCATCGAAAGCTGGATCTAAAACAATGTATACAGCACGATAGTTGTGGATGAAATACAAACTCTGGTGATTAACCAGAAAACCCAGCGCAAGGACGAATTAGATCACCCACCTTCCGCCACAACTTCAGCGTCGCTGTCTTCAGCACCATCTGCTGGTTCGACCTCGAGAGGCTTTTGCAGCAGCAGTTCAGAGTATAGTTCAGTCGATGCTCCGACTGGATCATCGCCAGTCTTAGGTTCGTTCGATACATCGCCCTCGGAGACGGACAGCAACTTGTCCACAATGCAACGCACGGCATCCTCACGCTGGCGCAAACACTGGGAAACCGGGCGACAGACAATATCCTGTACAAGGAACGATTTATCCACCAACCGCAGGGCCCGGACCAGATAGCTGTAAGCAACGAGGATCTGTTCGGTGTGGACTCCCGGATGGAGAAGGCGTTGTCTGACCTGGGAAGTGACCGTTTGAATTACATCATAGGTAAACTAAAGCTGAAAAATCAAGGGGATTCACTCGAGATCCGGCATGATAGGTGTTCAGATCCGTTGCGGTGAACGAACTAGAGACTAAGACGTAGATCCCGAGAAAACGTCATGATAGTAATTTGTTCTGTGTGTTAAAGAACAGTGCTCGACTGGGAAAATATATATTTGAAGACTAATCCGGTTGTAACAGAAGACTCTGGCTGAACCCCCCGCTTATAATGCTCTTCAACTGAATGCGTTACACAAAGACCGCTTCATGTTTCAGTTGTACTCAGCGTGCCAGAACAACACACAAGGTTGACGGCCACTTGGTGGCTGAACCTACCTGATGAGTAGCAAGAAGGGAGAAACCGGTTAAGGGTTCCCGAATAGTTTCTAGCAACTTTATGAGTAGTGTGATCCATCAACAAGTTTCGTAGTTTTTGGCTGAAATATGATGGTAATAAGAGGTCAGTTGGATCGAATAAAGGAAAGCAGTGGCTTTATGAAGACCCCAGTGCAAATGGCCTTACGAACGATTCTCAGATCGTGATTCAGTTAGTAAGTGAAGTTGTAAAAACGCATAAAGAAGGGCGCGTAGATGCGGCAAAAATATGACACCGGTTAACATTTGCCAAGAGTAACTGTTCGCACAGAAGTTCGGTTGGCCACGACAAAGTCAGAGCTTTCGCTAACATTCCTAATGTCATGACTATCCCAAGCTATACAATAATAGGAGGATCACTGGCTAAGAAAGCTTCGAAGAATGACCGGTGATTTCAATGGTGGCTGCAGTAGACCTGTAGGAAATCGTTTTCTTAGTTAAACTGTTGGCAGAATCAACAAGTTGGGAGTGTATCTTTTCAAAGGGTTTGTAGAAGAAGGTGTAGGGTTGTTGTTCAATACAGTAACCCCCCGGCTGCTGCTATTGACACTGCTTCCCAAAAAGAACGCAAATGCCTGGTCTCAGAAAAGAGAGCCCCCACGAGAGGTGCTTCCAAGAAGGCTTCTCACCCTGATAGGAAAGTTGCTAGTGATTGGTATTGAAATATGCAGTTCGATTGCCCGGGAGTTATAAAGCGAGTACCCCCCTGGGTGTCGTGCGCACCATTTAGTGGGGCTGGAACATGCAGGGTATCTTGGGTGGCCCACCGGGATTCTTATCCATGAATTGTTCGGTACCTACCGATGTCAATCATATGTGCTAACTTGCGTTCAGTCCACCTAAACTTTACGGTATCGTAAAACTGCAACGCGAGTACCGGACATCGGAAGCAAAGAAAATGAAAGTAATACATACATGATTGAAGGTTGAGATGATCCAGGATCGAGTACACATTTGCTAATTATATATATATATGTA